TGTGTTTTTTGAAAAATACGACATACTTCGATTTTTTCGTATTTTCCGACCTGAAAAAGATATTTGTGTAAGGTAAAAAGTTGTTTTTCGTGATCAGCAAGTCTCACTCTATCAAATGATGTAAAAAAACGGCAAAAAAAATTTTTACTTGAATTTCGCATTGCCGGCACCTTATAAAGAAAAGAAAGAATGAGTATGATATTCACCTTTGTTATGTCCTTCGGAGAAAGAAGAAGGATGACAACATCACTTTACATAATTACATAAAATCCCTTTCTGTCATGCTCCTTATCAACCAAACATGTACCTGAGTTATGAAAAGAGACTGTGAAGGTCATTCGGAATTTCATAACACAATGAAACTCCAAAAGCTTTGTACTTCACGAAGTTGACGAATGCATAAGAGTACGAGACAAAGAACCCTCACATACAAAGGCAAAACTGAAGTGTATATGTTTAAATCGATCCTGCCTGGCTTGCTTTATAATCAGGACTATCGATTTCCTATGAAAAGTGTGCTTTCGTGCATTAGAAATAGATTTTTGTGGAAAAAGCTGTCGTAGCAGTAGCGATCGCACAGCTGATTGTAACGAATTTTTCGGCATGAAGTCCAGGTTTTTGGACAAAGTTTCACCGCTCATTTTGTAGAGAATTGAAAGCTCTATAAGATATCAGCAAGTCTAGACTCCGGCAAGCTACTGGTCGAGAGATAATTACGTTTTACGCGAAGAGTTTCACTTTTCAAAATCATGACTTTTCGCTTCAAGTGGATAACAAAAATTCAGTTTCACGTCGAAAGAAGAAAAAAGTAGCTCGGTCAATGCAGTTTTATATGCTCTTTCGAATGAGATATTACTCGCATAGAATGAACAAAATTTGATGGAGTTATTTGCAAAATACTAGAAACAGTGCTTTTTCGCGAAATTTTCGAACGACCTCACGGGACGTTTCTGTAACTGAGTCTGATAAGGTCTAAAAGTCTAAAAATGTTTTCATTCCCATAGTTTCATGTATAGAATTGAAGCCCCTTATAAAAAGTATAAGTTGTAAATTTTCCAGTAACCGCTTTATGACGGCAAGCTCGATCCACTCACGAATCCTCCCTTAAGATTCTAAGTATAAAGGAAGCATTATGCGATTACAAATGAACAAATGACTACACACTTGATCGTTATCGATACTATTGATTATATGAATATATTTATTGTCCTATATGAGAAAAACCGCAAGTTTTCTGACTTCTTTTCTTTCAATGCCGTTCTGAATATTACTTCTTTTTAGTTATTGTTGTTGTATGGGAATAAGCAAACGAAAAGAATGAAATATTTTATTGATGGAATTAAGAATGAAAGAAGAAAAATAAATAAAAATTTTCAAAGAAAACGAAAATGCTACGAATATGGGTCCAAGTTGGTATAATCAAATTATTCGAACGGATTGATCTTTTTCTGAACATAGGTGTTCATGAAGTACAAACCAAATGGATCGAGATGTCTATGCATTCTCGCTAACACGTGTCTGGTATTTTTTCCTCAATATTGTAAAATAAAATTAAAAAATACCAGAATACTCCCTTTGTGTCAAGCTATGATCAGCTTTTGTTACTCTATTGCTATTATGTGAAATTAGCGTTTTTTGGCTTAGGATTTACATCTTGCTTTTTGATAGCGCTTTGATAGCGTTCAATGTATGTATGTGCATGTGTATGTATGTATAGGCGGACTTCTGGGATTTCTCGGACTTCAATACCATTCACCAACTTGCGTAGACAACCCTGAAACGGAGTTTTGAATTTCATGTTGTAACGTAACACATATTGTAGCCCAGACGAATTGTAGTCGCATGAAAAGGGCCGACGTGAAAATGTCTTACCGCAGCGGTGAAAAAATTTGTTCCATATTGCTATGAAAGGTAAAAGGCCAGATCAAAGATTCACGACCCTATACTATAATATTTGGTTGTATCTTGACGTAAACCCGGCGAACGTATTACGTCCATCGTAAACGACGTCGTTTATGTTGAAATACGACGAAATACTATAGTATACGTCAAATTACGAGGATCTAATTTGATTGGTACGACCGCATACAACGGTGGTAATCATGGACCTGGGACATAGGACAAGTTTTGAAAAAGTTTTTTTACCGCTGCCCATAGAAGTTTCAGCCCCGCGTTTTTCATCCGACTATAATTGTGGGGACCTTCCCTCGTTGGTTATATATAAAACGAAAGTTTTCGTACAATATAGGCGATGTTATGAGTTCATATTTTTCACATATAAAAACATTTTTCGCGATAGACATGTACGGATATCGATTAATCGAAATCGAAAATAATCGAACTTCGATTATTCGATTCTTAATCCAAATCGATACATGCCTATTTCAAACCGATAATTAGCCGTTGATTCATCAAAAAGTCTCATTGACGTCTGGCATTCAAGAACGTCGATCATGGGCGAGACTCTGCTAATCTAATCTAATCGATGAGACTCTGCTAGAATATATAATTCAAGAACATTACTTAATATCATAGAAGCATATACATATAAACGAAGTATTCGTACATTAAAAACAATTTTTATTTATTTAATGGTTTCACAATTAGAAGCTTTTGTTGAGCATAATAATGAATATAAAGGAAAATTAACATTTATTGTCAATAAATTTAACAATAACATGACAAATGTTACAGATTACGTTATTGAATTATTAAAAAAAACAGATTTATTAGCATGTTTTGATAAATGGAGAAAAGAAAATGCATCAAAAAATTTAAATTTTGCATATTGGGATATGATTATTCAAGAATATTGAAATGCATTGATTATTTAAAGCTACAAAAGAAACAATACGTTTCAGCATCAATATCAGAAATCTCATTTATGAATTTGGTATTTGATGAGGATATTGAATGTACAAGTGAATCAAAGTCAAAATTTGGTATATCAGGAAGAATGGATAGTGATCGATTTACATCTATGCTATAGAACAGCATCACTTGGTGCTAAAATGTATCATGCAGTTGCACAAATAACTAATCTGAAGAAAATAGTAACGAAGCTCATGTTGAAACAATAACAACTAGAATGAAACGATGATTTATCAACAATCATGTCAACTAATGTTAATCCGTTTCGTACACAAGATTCTATTAACAAATATTATAATACCAGATGATATCGTTAAAGAAGTGTTAAATTCAGGTTCAATTGGTGCTCACCGAACAACCGACTGTATAACAAAACGCTTACTTACAAAACAAAAAAACTATGACAAAAGAATTTCTAATAATAAACTTAGAACTTTAGCAAGCTTTGAACCGATACCTTGTTCGGTACCAGTAATAAAAAAACCTGCTAAAAAACGAAAGATTCTTTTGAAAAATACTACTAACAAATAAATAAAAGCACAACTAATAAGTAAATAATAGCGAATTCCATTTTCTTTAAGACTTGGTTGATACTTCTTGATGTGGATATACTTGATGTTCGTAGACTTTGAATTATGAAAACTTTGCTTTTGGAAGAAATAAACAATCTAGAGAAAAGTGGTGCTTGTCTGTGTTAGGTGCCTATTTTTTTGCCTTTGTGTACTCATTTGTAATTTAACGAAGAAGAAAGGCAAGCTGAAACAATAGGGATGTTACAACTATGATGAGTGAATAAATGAGTGTGGTAACTATGTGTTGTGAGAAGGAAAGAGGACAGAAAAAGCTCTTGACGACGATATATCAAGAACGTCCCTATATAACGACGTTGGTCTGCAAGAGAAAACAACTGAAAAGTGACTATATGTCAATAAAATGATCATTTTATCACTTTGTATTCATTTTTGTAACCATTTATTCAGAAATTTGGTATTATTCCTCTTTCGTATCTGCTAACAACATAACGTTTTTACCTGAAAGGTATCAATCAAGTCATAAAGAAACTGGAATTCGCTATTATTTGCTTTTATTTATTTGTTAGTAGTATTTTTCAAAAGAATCTTTCGTTTTTTAGCAGGTTTTTTTATTACTGGTACCGAACAAGGTATCGGTTCAACGCTTGCTAAAGTTCTAAGTTTATTATTAGAAATTCTTTTGTCATAGTTTTCTTGTTTTGTAAGTAAACGTTTTGTTATACAGTCGGTTGTTCGGTGAGCACCAACTGAACCTGAATTTAACTATTAACAAATATTATAATATCAGATGATATCGTTAAAGAAGTATTAAATTCAGGTTCAGTTGAAGCAAATGAAGTCCTGGAGGCGGTTTCTACTCGAAAATGGGCCAATATGATTTTAAGTGAAAATGGTCGGAAATGCTTCCCTTTCCACTTTCCACTTTCAAAAACTCCTCCTCGTGTCTCTGAAAACAAAATTCCTTTTCATTTTTCCCCACTAGTTCAACAAAATCCATTTACCCTTTTCTGTAAATTTCTCGTCCGATTTGAAAGCCCTTGAGCAAAACTTATACAAAGCAACATAGAGAATTTCCTGAGCTTCAACACAAGCTGTAAACAAGCTCTTCAAAAATATGTCCATATTGGACAATTGTCGAAATACTAGACAGATATCATCATTTCCACCTATCTTAACAGTTTACAGAAATATTTCTACAACGCATGCACTCAGAATCGGACTGTTTTATATATGAGGCAGTGCACGATAGGGACGAACAAAGTTGCTCAATGCACTGTCACAGATTTTTCTCAAATTATCAGAGCAGACAGAGAAATGTGTCCTGAACATTTTTGTCTCTTGACATTTTTTCCAAAATGCTTTTCCTTGCCGCTAGAGCGCTTGCAAAAGAAGTCGTAAAATACGAAAAAAAAGCGATTTTCCAGTCGAAAATTCTGCGTACGCTATAACTTCGCCAAATCAAATGCTAATGAACTTAAATTTTTACCAGAGCTGTCTTGCTATGAGTACTACCTAAGATAAAAATTTGAACTTGTTTGAGTTAAGCGTTCTCCAGAAATAGTTTATTCCTTAGACATAGGCAAAGCGTCATCGCCACTTCCGTCAACTAAACAATTTTTCTGATTTAACAGCTCCATGCAGAATTGAATTATCTATCGATCTCCGCAAACTGCCGATTTTTAGCATTAAATTTTGATTTTTCAGAGATGTTTTTCCGAAGC